CCCCCCCCCCCCCCCCAAAAAACCACCCCAAAACCTCACCAACAAATAAAGGAAAGGTAAACCAGGTTCTTGAAGCCAACCACACTTTTTGTGTGTGTGTGTGTGTGTGTGTGGTCATCTTCGTGGCTAGATTAAAATGATATTATCACACGTAGGTTGGTAGCGCTACCAGTTGGTAAAGGTGCTTGATACTTCCAGGTATTGGGTCCTGGTTTTTCTTTGCTGATAACTAACGCCACCAAACTGGAGACATTTGCACTGAAATATTCCATGCCTGGTGTCTGTTTTAGGTTGACTTGATTGGAGAAATGGAAAAATTTCAACCCCCAAATGATTTGGGTGTTTCTCAGAACAAGCCTGTGGGGAGAAGCGGTGGTGTGTCCATGTTCAGAAACTCCAGTGACTTTGTTCGGAGAAACTCTAGCACCCCCGTGCCTTAAAACAGGGACTTGAAATTTGGAAGGGAGGTGGTTATATCAAGGATTTGTCTTTTGCCGTCCCCATGAATATCCACTCAAAGTTGACTCAGCTTTTTTAAATATCTCAGTTGACGCATGTTCAAAATGACCAGGTACTCATGGCTAAACTTGCTAAATGGACAGAACAGGACCCCAGAGGCGTACGGCCATGTGGCAAAGAGTACCAGGACAGGGGCAGGTTGGGGAAGATAGGGTAGAGTATATCCTGCTGGGGAATGAGCAAGTCTTGTGTCCACTAGAGCAGACTTGCCTCCCAAAGTCTGAACCAGAAGCCAAGATTGCTGAGTCTTGCTGTTTCCCCTGATGGCCAATACCTAAGAAGCCTCCTGGGACCAAGTCCCATTCCCTTCTCCATGCACAAAGGATAACAACCTACTACTGCTGTGAGATATTCAGCAGTAGTCTGCAAGGCAGACTTTAAGGCTCCAACCCCACTGTTGGCTTTTGCATAATGTCTTGTGACAAGATCCCTTTTTTTCCCCCCCAGTTGTTTTCTACCAAATGTTGGAAATGACACGCAAGGAAATGCATTAAAAGAACACAGTTGAGGTTGCAGGAAAGGATACTCCAGCACCAGGAAATGCCAGAGCTGAGGTTAGTTGTCACATTCATTCAGTCCCCTGGTGCATTACCATTATGAGAATGTCTTGAATTACACAACCGCGGGCTATTCTTTCCACAGGACCCTGCTTCATTTGGGCCCAGGATGGACCCACTGGGGAGGCTGTCTGGAAGACTCCCTGCCTCATTTGTTATAGCAGGTGCGTAGAAGTGAGAAGGGGAAATCATAAGAACGTAAGAATTGTATGGCTTTGTCAGCTGGACACTCCCTGGAAACCTTTATTTTGTCTCTGTCACAGATTTCCTTTGTGGTGCTGGTTGAGTTGTAAGTCAAACTTTCCCCAGGTGGTGATGAATTGTACTTGTGTTTTCCTTGGCCTCAGCTGAGACCCGGGGTCCACCTTGCTGCAGTGCCAAGCACTTGCAGCAGCAGCTGGAGTCCATGGGACCTGTGCCTTGACCCCAGAAAGTGTTACGTAAGTGTTTCAACTAGTCTGAAAAGTCAAGTCGTAGGTGCCTTGGGTTGGACACCACACATTCGTAGAGGCTTTTGACCTTCATGTGTGGATGATCCCCACTTACCTGATGGGGGAGGCTCTGAGAATAGATTTACTAATGCTTGTGTTCAAAGGCAGTGGTGACGAACGCTGTCCAGGTACTCCTGTAGCATGCTTGCCAGAAATAAAGCATGAGAAGAAAACAAATCATTGGTTAGCTGTTCACGAAGTGCACAGAATGAGACTGGGGTCCTTTAGAAAACTGCGTGTCACCAGGGAGCTGAAATAAAGCAACTTTATTTTGCGCATTTCCTGATATTCAGTGCTTGCTTTTAGTGTGTGTGTATGTGTAAGTTTTATATGAACGTTTGGAGCATTTGGAAGAAATTAAATTTCCCCGACTCGTGTTGTTTCACTGAAGTTGGAACAGCTCAGAGAGACGCTCCCAGCCTAGCCTGGTCAGTGGGACCCGAGCCTGGCACACGAGACACCAAGGTTCAAATCCAGGGAGTTATCGTGGCATCCTCCAGGAGGGTCCTAGCCACCAGACCATTGCCTGTTCTGAACTAAGCAACTATCAGCTTGTCTGTCTCTCAAGCATGTATGTCTTATGAACACTTTTTGGATGATCTTGTACGAAACCTTGTAACCTTTCACTAGATGGAATTGTTTTCTGGCCATCCTTCCTCATGACCGACTCCTACTTACCGCCCCCACTTTTCCCATCAAAGTGGGTTTGTTGCAATACCCCCTTTCTGGCAGAACGGCTCTCCTGAAATGTGGTACCTCCACCCATCTGCCGGGAAAGGTGGGACTTGCTTGTCTCCATAGAATTGCCTGGTTCTGTGCAGCGTTTGTACTTAGGATGCGCGTGAGAGCCTGTGCCTTGCATAAACAGGAAGTCTTCTTGGCACGGGGCAAACGAGTTTTATGCACGTTTACAGTGAGCTCTAGGCTTCTGAGGCAAGGCAAAGCCAATGTAAATATTGAGATGCTAGATGGCTTAGCACATGGGTCTCAAGGCATGCTCAGGGGCCTGGCTTTCTGCATATTTATTTGACTATATAGGCAGTCCTCAACTTACAATGTTTCACACTTGCAATGTTTATAAATTCACGCCCTGTTTCAACTTTCCGACGTTGGTTTCGACTTGTACAAGGCTTGATCTGACATGACGCCATGCCAGCGAACAAGTTCACCGCATCGCTCATCTCCCTGGAGAACATCTGTCCAAACTTCCCTGGATGCTTTCTTTAAAAAGCAGACGAGACTCCAGAAAAACCTGCAGCCAAGACTCTTGAGAAGACTGTAGCCAAAAGCCCTTTAAAAAGTCCAGCAAAGTCACCTCAAAGAAGTTCTTCCAAATCAATATGATTGCTATTTACAATATAAATACATTCATGTAGCTATATTACTCATCTATAATTGATCGAGTACAAAATTCTGAGTTATTTTTAGTGGAAAATAGTGCATCGAGCCTTGGTTCAGGAATCAATCCCCCATTTATAACATGGTTTCCTATGGGAAAATCGGTTCCGAGTTGCAGTGTTTTGACTCGAGACACGGTTTTCAGGAATCAGTTGTGTCGTAAGTCCGAGGACTGCTTGCATATCAAATTTATGTTTGGTGGGACAGCATAAGAAGCAGCATGTTTCTCTGGTGTGGTCAGACCCAGAATTAGATGCTTTTTAAGAGTGTGTTTTGGAGTCCCTAAATGCACCCAGCACCAGGGAAGGATATCTCTTGGAAAAACTGTCCATGGGGAAGTTTAAAAGCCTGCGGGGAATAGCCAAGAAAATGTCAAAGAGGAACCCATCAGGTGTCATGTAAACAGGCTCAATAGAAAAATAACAGAGGAATTCTTTTGTTGCAAAGAACTTAGAAAGACCACTCCAGGTCAGAATGGTTTTGACACTCTGGATTTCTATCTGAAACCTCTGGGTTTATTTTGCGAATCATGTTTGCACACCTGATGGTGCTAATATTGCATGGCAACATTGTGTGAACAGTTTTCAAGGCACCCCAGGGCATCCTGCTTGAGGGTTGCTGCCCCAGAAACATGAATGTGGGTGCAGGTCCTTTGTTCTCCAACACCAAGTGTCAATTGTGCAGTTCCTCAAGCAGTGACTGTGATCTATGAAATTGCTCTTGATTTTTTTTTATGTTTAAAAAAAAAAAAAAAACAACTCAAATTTCTCCAGTACATTTGGCTTTGGTCCCACTTTTCTATATTTTAGTAGCTGGCAAA